AATGGACATTATAGTGGATTCTGTCCTCCTCCTCCTCCTCCTCAAAACACCTCATTGTGAAAGGACCCACTTCCAGCCACCTACCCTAGGTGTAAATAAATTAATCCAGCTACCATGGAATGGGCATTAGGCACTTCAGGTGCTGCTCATATGCCAGCTCCGGAGTTCCCATCAAACCGAACAATTACTTTTACTTCGTGGTTTCTGTAACTGCAGCTGCCTGTGGAACTATTTCGAAACAGTTTAACAAATGAACTAGACATAAAATAATAGAAAGTGACACCACATTCAAGTGTTCCCCACAGAGAGATCCAGACCCTTTTGCACCACCGGAGCAGTGTGAAGGGATCAGAACAAAGACGAGAAACTCACCCAGCGTATTTCATTAATTTAATAATTAATCCCTCCTGTCCTCTGATCATTTTTCTCTCTCTGGTAATGAGGTGCTCAAAACTGAATGCAGCATTTCAGGTGTGATTGCATAAGAACTGGATAGAGTGAAACTGTTACACTTCTGTTCTGTGGCATGACATCTTTGCATAGCAGCCCATGTTTGCATTGTCTTTTAGCTACTGTATCACATTGCAAACTTGTGCCTAATTTGCTGTCTAGTATAGCCCCCTGCAAGTTTCTTTCAGCATTGCTGCTTTTCAAGTTTCTCCTTCGCACTAACATCTGCTTTTCAGATTACTACGTTAAATCATCCTTTTGATTTAGTCTCCCTGGTCGTGTTCTCGGTAAACTTAATCAGATATGAAATAACACATGTTTAAACACAGTACAAAAACAACAGTTCATCTATATAAAAATGAAGGGTTTAAAAAGGGCAGGCACATTAGAAAAGGGGTAGCTGTTTCAATGGTCAAATTAGATAGGACAGTATTATGTCTAACTTGGCTTCTCATCTAAATTTTATGGAAGTCCTAATTTAGAAAGGGAAGACTAAGTTAACCCTAAGTGTGTTATATTTAACATATTTATGTTGTGAATTGCCTGCTATGTCACTGCTTAGTAAGCGAGTAAAGCTGATAATTGGGTATGTTGGAGCCAGACCCAAGCTACAGGGACTGGACTTTTGGGCCCTGATCCACAGCCCAGTGAAGTCAATTGGAGTCTTTCTACTGATCCCAGAACTCTTTGGATCAGGCCTTTGGAGTCTGAAAAGAGCCCTGTGAATGCTGCTACTTGGTATACCATATGGTCATCTGGGAAAGAAGAATATGGTAGCACTCTAGCCACTCTAGCCTATTACTATTCTTATGTCCTTGTCTTTAGGCTTTGTATGTGAGCCTGTTATTTTACAGAATAATATTCAGAGGTTTAGGGGGTAGATTTTCAAAGGCATAAAGGACAATTAGGTGCCCAACTTCCAGTCACATCCAATGGGAGTTGGATGCCTAACAGCCTTCATGCCTTTGAAAATTTCCTCATTAGTCAGTAAGAGCACTCTTGTCCACTGGCCTTCCCTCCCCTGACCTTATGTGGGCTATCCAACCCCCTTCTTCTTATTATTTTTGGTAGGGGATTTGGCAGGCAAGGGTGGTGAAAATCAAAACCACACTTCTAATTTGGCTGGTTTTCAGCAGCTTGTTCACATGCACCTGGAGCATTTCCATAAGGTTCCCATTCACCATTTCCTGGTCACCTTCCTTTTCCCTGTAGCCCCGCTTTTCAATTACATGAGTGCTGCTGAACACACAGGTGAATGTGGTACAGGCTGAAGATGTTTGCCAACAGAACTTTGAACTTCAGCTCCCACTCCTTGCTCTGACGACCCACAAGTTTCATTTTCTCCATGCATCAGCTAGTGAGCAGGGAGGTTTTTTTCTTGCTGCTGATGCAAAATCATACTGGTTGCATCAGATACAGAATAATCTTTTACCTACTGCTGCTGTAAATGGACTCTGAGTGAAGCTTTACATTGCTGTTTTGCTCACCCACTTTCAGCAGTCATCAGGGTCAACAGCTGAAAAAACATGGACAAAAAAGTAACCCCCCGCCACACCCAACACACACACTCCTAATTTTCATCTTAAAAATAATGTCAGTTAAACGATACTTCATGAAAGATTCTGGACTGAAAGCCCCTGGAGGTGGAAATTCTTTGTACATCTCCAGGACAAGTATGACATAGGCAGCAGTGCAAGTTTCCCCTGCCAGTGAGGTTCAACCCTCACCTGGAATAGCCACTCCTAGGAATCTGAACATATTTAATTTTCCTTGCCCATTCAATCCATTGCTGAGATGGCAAACGAATCTGCTCAGTGAAGACTGTGATTAATGTTTTTTGAGGCGTGGATTCTTATCTACCGACACATTTCAGACAGCTTGCACTCATCAGCTTATTCTGAGTTTCAGTTATTTCTAACCCAAACCAGCTATGATTCTATGATGGATGCTCTGAATCCATTTACCAATCTTCAGGCCACTCAGTTGCTCTTATTTAACATTTATTCAGGGCATACAATGTTCTAGACCAGGGGTGGGCAAACTACGGCCCGCAGGCCACATCCAGCCCTTCAGACCATTTAATCCGGCCCTCAGCCCTGCCAGGGAGTGGGGTTGGAGGCTTGCCCCGCTCCGCGCAGCTCCCAGGAAGCCACTGGCATGACCCCCTTCTAGCTCCTACTTAGTATGCAGAGGTGTGGCCAAGTGGCTCTGCGGGCTGTCCATCTGCAGGCGCCACCCCTGCAGCTCTCATTGGCTGCAATTCCTGGCCAATGGGAGATGCAGGGGTGGCGCCTGCAGACGGGGAAGCATCCAGAGCCACCAGGCGGCGCCTTGAAGCCAGAGAGGGAACATGCTTCCGGGAGCTGCTTGCGCTAAGTGCCACCCGGAGCCTGCACCCTTGAACCCAAAGGTCCCATCCAAGAGCCCCCTCTTGTACTCCAAACCCCTCATCCCTGGCCCCACCCCAGAGCCTGCATCCCCAGCCAAAGCCCTCACCCCTCCCATGCCACATCAGCCTGCCCCATCCCTGATTCCCTTCCTGCCCTCTGAACCCCTTGGTACCAGCCTGGAGCCCCCTCCTGCACCCCAAACCCCTCATCCCCAGCCCCACCCCAGAGCCCTCACCTCCCCGCACCCCAACCCAGAGCCTCCTCCTGCACCCTGAACTCCTCATTTCTGGCCCCACCCCAGAGTCTGCACCCCCAGTCGGAGCCCGCACCCCCTCCCTCACCTCTACGCCCAATTTCATGAGTATTCATGGCCCACCGTACAATTTCCATACCCCAATGTGGCCCTCAGGCCAAAAAGTTAGCCCACCCCTGTTCTAGGCACTTTATGGAATGTGTATAAGGAAAGTTTCCTTCCCTGAAGATGTCATAATCTAAGAAGAGACAAAATAGAACAACTGATGACAGGACTGGCTGAGGGAAGGCAGATGAGACTATAAACTCTTTGGGTTAGGTACTGTCTCTTTGTACAGCACCTAGCACAAGGGGGTCCTGATCACAATGTGAGAACCTGCAGGGCTGGAACTGTGGGGGTTTAGGGCTGCTGATGCCTCCACATTACCATGGGAGGCTTAGGCTGGGCTCCCATGGGAGGACCCTGTGAGACTGGGATCAGCAGGAAATACCAACCACCAGGACTGGCGTGGCAGCTTCAGAAAGCCCCCTGATTGGCTGATACCAGTATATAAACCAGGAACCCATGAAAGGGAGCTGTCTGAGCAACAACATAGACTGCCTGCCTGTCTCTGCTCCAGACCCTGCTTGTGAGAGATCCTCAACTCCAGCTTCTGATCCTGCCTGCCTCCTAACTCTTGGTTTTCCCTCTGACCTGTTGCGTACTCTGACCTTGCAGTACCTGAGTTGGTCTGCCTTCTGACGCCAGACTCTTGCTTTTGTCCTCTGGCCTATCTAGCACTCTGACCTCCTGGTATCTGACTTGGCCTGCCTCCTGACGCTTGACTCTCAGTTTGCCCTCTGGTCTATCCTGGATCTGACCTCCTGGTACCCGACTTGCCCTGACTTCTGCTCTGACCACTAGGATTGACTGACCAGGACCTGATCATGACATACAAATAAATAATAATGGGAAGATAGCAGGACCATGGGCACAGTCATCAAATCATACGGTGGTTTTGATACAGTATGCAACACTACATGAAGATTACATACCTAATTTATTTAAATGTGTTTTGGTTATGGTGTTTCTGAGCACTACAGTTATCACAGTTATTTACACACACACATGCATCTCTAGTGCTGAGTCTATGGATTAGAGTCACATTGCATTGCACCGACTACATGTCTATAATCAAGATCTCCTAGCACAACTTATTGGTTGTCCTTTCGCAGCCCAATAGAGAATAACTGTATTTGCCAACACTTACCACAAATGGAGTAACAGAGCAACTGCAGTTATCCATTCCTCAGGAAATAACTCTGGTATTTCGGATACCAGAGAGTGGTAACTGTTGGCAAAATATGACTTTTTAATGACAACCAATGTAATTCTATTTTCTTATCAAGGTTAGGGACACACAGAAGTGGTTAGACACTAATTATTTATTACTAGTAAGTCTAGATGTTTACTAAAATAAATTATATAATGTCTATATAACTGGCCAGATCACGAGCTGGCATAAATCAGCAGCAGTCAATTGAACAAAATTGATTTATACCAGCCAAGGACCTGCCCTTAAATGACCACTCTAATGCCTCAGTTGCAATGACATTACTCTTTGTTTATTTTAGTCAAGCATTACAACAGCAAGAAAGCAGTATCCCTATTTGAGTTCATCTGCTTCAGAGAGTCAATACTAGGGATCTTTCAGATTAGCTCACCCATTCCTAAAAGGCTGGCATTGCTGCTTGATAATACTCAATATCCTGATTCATTTGTAACTGTCAGAGGAACTGATGAAAACTTTATTCTTGTCCCATTAAAAACATCTATACTACATATGTATTGCTCTAGCAATCAATTTTTATTTTACAATCCTGCTCTGACAATGAAAACACTGATTGGAAAATGTTGATTTCCCTTACCTCACTGATGATCGTTGAGTGGGATTGTTTATATACCCAGCCATCCTGGCATGGAGTAAGCGCCACGTTGCCCAGGCTGCGATTAGTAAAGTGGGACAGTGGGTTGGCACAGCTCACAGAGGTGTTATTCCACTCTATGTCAAACCTCTCACACTGGCCACTGGAAAACCTGTTCACCAGGTTCGGAGCTGGCACAGTATAATTTTGTTCCTCTTCAAGGGTCCAACCACATCTCTCACTTAATTCAGCTGCACCAGGGATCCTGCACCAATAGTGCTCTGGTGCGTGCCCAAGAAAGACCACTCCCACAAATAGAAAAGAAAAAGTTATGCCTGTCTGGCAAAGGAGGAAAAAGACCCTCTTTTGGTACCTTCCAAATTCCCCAGCTTCTTTTAAAACCTCATCAAAAGACGGCATTGTGTGCAGTAGGTTTTCAACTCGGAGGGATCCAAGAGATGGCAGAGTCAACAGCTTTCAAACTTTGTAACTAGTGCTGGTGCTTCCTGTAGATGTAGCTGTGTGGACTGTCTCGCTCCCTCTCCCTCTCCCCACACACACACACACACAACACCACGGTAGCATAAGCAGCTTTGGAACAGAGCAAAGTTCCACAGACCCACCCAGAGCGTTACAGTATGTCAAGTGGTGTGAGGCTTACACACAGCAGTGTAGGAGAGCAATATAAAGTGAGCAAACATACCATAAGAGAGAAGGGGCGTGCGTTTCCTATCTATCCAGAATCTTAAACAGATTATGCAATAAAAACAATTAACTCTTTAGGGACAGACGTGCAGTAAACACGAGCTCTGCAGGCAGGGGCATACAGCTCTTGTCCTTACAAAGGGGTCCCAGAAAAATGCAGTGTGTTAAATAAAAACATAACAGAGAGGAAGCTGCTGCAAAAGTAGCAATGAGCGATGCTGTCAGCATTCTGGGTGGCAGTGACAGAAATGTTCATAAAAAGCTCTGAAGTCTCCCCTTCAGCACACAGGAGTTATTTCTGCAGCCACGTTCTAGTACTCATCCAAAGTGCTATTGAACCATGTCTACAACTTTTATTGGAACGCATAAATATGTTATAATTAAAGAAAGGTTGTCATGCCCAAAATGTAGGAGTTCCTTTTAAAAATAGGTCTATCTGTGCTTTGACCTATTTATGTAGGTTTTTATATGGCCACATTCATCTTAGTATCTGAGCATCCCCTGCTCTCTCCTTTCCCAGAGGAGCTATACATTCAGTTAGTTGATAAGTTTGCTTGGGGGCCAGGGACTTGTGGGGGCCAGAGATCAAGGTGGGCTAGGGGTGGGTGGCACTTCCAGAGGGCAATCTAAGCCACAGAAATAATGGGTTTTGCATTTAAAATTCTGAAAGAGGTGAGATTTGTGGCCCCTCTTATCTCTTTACAGGAATAAGTGGAGGTCCAGTTCCCAGGGCAGTTCTGTCTCTGGCAATTACTCGGCTCTTACTGGCTATGGTTGTCGTTGATGGGATGTTATGGTTGTGGAGATAGAAGCAACCTTTCAGGTAGCTAGGTCCAATCCCATGGAGGGCTTTGAATATCAGGACAGACAACTTGAAATGGTGCCCAGGGAGGGAGCAGAGGTCTGAGGTGATGTGCTCATGACTTGTGTTGCTAAGCAGATGAGCTTTTGTATCAGGCTGAGCTCTTACAGGGTGTGTGGTTTCAGTCCTAGATATAATGAGTTGCAAAATAATGAAACCTGCAGGTCATGAACGCATGGCTCACTGCAGGCAGGTCTGTGTCTGACATGGTGTGGCGCAGTCTTCTGGACAGTTACAGACAAAAGTGGGTGGGTTTTTTTGCTGCCAGAGTTATCTGTGAAGCCAATAAAACTAAAGAGTCGAAAAGAAAGAGGGCTTATCCCTGAAAAGCTCAATGATTGGGGAAGAGACCTTTTCTCAGGATAATCAGTGGCTGAAAGGGCCACGTTTAGCTGAATTCAATCCAAATTCCAAGCCTTTTATAGTTTCACTCCTTTGTGATAAAATCTGCATTTAAAATATGACTACTTCAATATGAAAGGAAAAGACTAAGTTTAACAAAGCCCCACCAACTGTAGATTAAAAAAAAATCTGAGGACTCTAAAAGACAAAACATTCCTTCTAACCATCATCCCTTTTGTCAACTAGACCCTGCATCTGGAAATTGTTACAGAACAATGCTTGTGTTCGGTTGGCAAGCTCAGGTCCCATCCACATGGATACAGGTCCCAACACATAACTTTGAGATATCATCACTTGAGTCCCCCAGTTGACCTAGTCAACCCAAAAGTTGGATGGTAAAACCAAGAAACGTAGGCAGACTCTGTAACTGCACTAAACTAGAGCTGGGCATGGAACAGCTTTTTCAGTTGCCCGCAGTTTTGAAAAATAAATCACTTTGGGTCAAACAGAAACATCTTCAGCAAATCAGAGAGTCCAAAAAATTGCTTTTGGTTGAATGAAACATTTCTTTTCACCAAATCATTTTTATTCTCAGCCATTTTTACATATTTTTTACAAATAAAATGAAAGGAAATTTGGAAACTGAATATCAAAACATTTCATTTGGAAAACCAAAATAAAACGTTTCAATTTGGGGATTTTTTAGGAGACATTGACATGAATTTGCAATATGTTTCGATGTCTCTGAAGCTGCATTTTCTCTGGGAAAAAGTTTCAACTGAAAATTTTCACCCAGCCCTACACTAGACCCACCAGTAAAGGGAGTTTGTCTGACTCCTGTACAGAGGGATGACCAACAATGTATTTTCTAAGATGAGACTTTGTGCTGTGAAATTTAGTAGCCATTTTGTCTCGGACCATAATAACCAAGAATAATAATTTTCAGTGGGATCAGCAGCAATCAGAAGTACCAACGGGTCAAATTACCATATGAGATAAATGGGCTTAATTTATATTACAATAATACTGCAGATAAAGGGAACACATGGAAAATAGACATATTGGGGCAGATCGTCAGCTGGTGAAAATCACTGGAATTAGGAACATAAGACCAAAGGAATTTCCATACTGGATCAGACCAACAGTCCATCTAGTCCAGTATCCTGTCTCTGACAATGGGAAGCACCAGACACTTCAGAGGAGGGTGTAAGCACCGCACAGTAGTTAGATGTGGGGTAATTTCCCCCAGACATTATATTTCCTTCTGATCTCTGTTAGAGATTGGCTTAAGGCCGGAAGCATGAGGTTTAATATCCCTTCTGTAGTGTATGGGAATAGGGTAACATCCTGCTAAATATTTTGTGAGCCCACTAGTGCCCTCACTGTCTTCTACGTTCCACCAGAACTCTGCCAGAGCAGCAGTGTGTGTGGGTAGCCAGGTGGTACAGGTTATATATGATTAGTAAACATGGCTATTTGGACCTCACCTTGCCCATATGGTTCCTTTATATTACATATGTTGTATAGAGAGCACAAGACACAACACCTTCTAAAACCTTTGTTCCCATCAACTATGACAACTCTGGCTATTCTTGTTAACCTTATCCCTTTTTGATTCTTGCTAAGTTTTTGACTTTGACGACTTCATGACACAGTGAGTTTGGTTCTCTAGTCTAATCACGTGTTGTCTGAAAAAATATTTCCTTTGATCAATTTTGAATTTGCCAACTTTTAATTGGTCAGTGGAGGTAGCTTGGATCCAGCCCATTAACTCAAAAAATTGTCTTGAATTGGAGATATGTGGTGAGTGCAAAGGGAGAAAATGCAGTCTAGTGATTGGGGTACAGGCCTAGGAGTCAAAACTCATGGGTCTGTCCTGTTAATCACTCCTTATGGTCTTGTCTATACCAGAGAAATTTACCATGCAAAGTGACACTTTTTCCCCCTCAAACAATTGTGAAACACCTCTCTTCCACAAATGAAAGTGCTCCAAATTGGAACATCAGTTCTTCCAGCCTCCATCGTTTTAGTGCCTTACTGCAATCTCCCAGAATGCACTGCCATGAACTGTTGGGTAAGAACCTGGAGGACACTGTGTCTGAAAAGGTTTAGTGCTAGTGAGGACACAGGGCAAACTTGCAGGTATTCTTCACGTTTCAGTGAGGATGCACTGAACCATTTGTTCTCTACCTGGTTAAATATAATCGGTTCAATACTCTAGTGTAGATGAGGCCCAAGTGATCACAGTTCCTTAATATCTCTCTAGACTTCCATTTAGCCATCTAAAAATGGTGTATTAATACTTGCTTACACCACTGGGTGTTGTGAGATTTAGTGTTGATAAAGGAATTTAAAATAATCAAATTACAGATGCAGGCAGTGTGCATTAGTAGTATTCCAGAACAAGCGATTCTTAGATTACCTCAGGTTTTCCTGGAACTCCAACGTTAATTTAGATATCTAAGTTTCAAACTGACATTTGATTTCTGGGAGATTGTTTTGGAAGAATTTATTGGCTAGTAATGCTGGTGCTGAGGAGTGCATTTGCTGCTGGAACATTCATCACTGTATAAGGCTGATCTAACTGGTCCAGAGAAAGAGGGAAATCCTTGCTGTGCCAAGTAAAGGAAGGGGATAGGGATGCAGTCAGAGGGGAAAATAAGGCCACCCGAACTAGCTTAATTTTGTAATGGAGACAAATGTAGTCAAAGAGCCCCGCTCCAAAGTCACACCTAACAGGTAAATATAAGGTCTGGGTCCCTCTTCCAGTGGCTTGACAGCACAGGATGGGGAATCAGGCTCACTGACTTTTATTCCTAGCTCTACCACTGACTGACTAATTCAAACAGCTCAATCCAGGTGTGCCATGGTTTCCTTTCCCATAAAATAAAGTAGAGAGATGCTCAGCTGAAAAGTTCATACCTACATGCAAAGTTTGGGAGGTGTATGGACACAGGGTTTTGGTTTGGGCCACTTTCTAAAACCTGGGATAATAATCCTTCCCCACTCAGAACTTCTAAAAAAGGGCTGAAGAAATGAAGCTCTGAAATAGCATTTACAGCTCTGAACAGCTCCAATTTAAAACCAGAAACGTATGCGTTATTTTTGTTTCGGTGAAAGTAGGGGAAGAAAAGCACTGACTAGAATGAATCAAAGGCTACAGCTACATTTGGAGCTAGGGACGTGAGTCCCAGCTTGTGTGGATATACTCATACTAGCTCTCCTAGAGCTAGTGCAGAGGTGGATTTACTATGAAACATACAGTGCCCTGGCACAGGGCCCCCCCAACTACAGGGGGCCCTAGGACCAGGCAGCCCAGCACCATCCAACACTGCCGCCGGGGGGGACCGCTGCGGGGGAAGAACCTGTGGGAGAGCAGGGAGGGAGCCGTTTAAGAGCCGTGCTGGAGGCACGGCGTGCGGTACAGTCTCCCAGCTGGTGAGCTGGGCTCCTGCTGGCTCCCAGGGCTCCTGCTGCAGTCACAGCAGGCAGCCAGGTGAGACAGGCAGGTGAGGGGCTGGCTGGGGGCATGCTGCAGGGGAGGCGTGCGTGATCCTCTGGTGGGGCATCCGTCTGCGCCTGTCCTGCTGCCCTGCTTCTCTGGACGCCGGGAAGCGCAGGTGCAGTCCCTGGTGTGCCCTGCTGCTGGTGGCCCCTGGAAAAAAAGCCAGGGGAAGGGAGTGGCAGGCCACGGGGTCTCAGCTTTCATATGCTGCTGCCACCACATCTCCCTTTGGGAGCGAACAGGAGCAGCGGCGG